GTTCTGCAAGGCTTTTAATGTAGTTTTTTAATGTGTAAATTTTATATTTAAATTATGCTCCAATTCTAAATAAATTATATTCAAAATAATTTCATTCAAATTTCGTAAACCGGAACGGACGATTTAAATTTGGAGGGAGAGAGTAAATAAAATAATTTAAAAACCTGCCAACTTATTTATATCCAGACATCATCTTCTCTATAACAATCTTTATAAAGATGAAATTAAACAAAAACACATTTTAAAACAATCACAATTCTATAATTCCTTTCAACACGAACATAGTTTACTTTTAGAATTGGCTTTGCAAACATATGCACTGAGCCTCAATTTCCATAGAATCCAGCAACATATCTTCGACAAATCCAATAAAGGTGGTGGTCTTAAGATTTGCATGTGAAATATGATTCCTTTTATTTATTTTTTATATACTGACAATAAATTTTTTTTAAAATTTTTAGAGGGCCCAATAAATATAAATTTCCCTTCATATGTTGCTAAAATAACAAATGATAGTGCTTGCACACATTTTGGCAGAATGGAAACACCATGGAAAAATATTTATCTCCAACAACCAACCTTCTATCTCCCCGCCAAAAATAATTCTTAAATAAGTAATGGAATAAAACTATGAATAAATGAAGTGATACAATAGATTTCGTCCCATTGCTTACTCGTATGTTTTAACTTTTAACCAAAGAGCTACGCCCAAAGTTAAGTTTTTCACGCAAGCAATTTCATCCTCCATTCCGTAGGGGGTGAGAAAGCATTTTAAAAGGAAAACGTTAATCTCAAATATGTCCTACTAAATGTATTTTTAGATGCGTTGAAAACAATTGTAACTCATGTGTCATCAAAATGTTTATTTGTGACTTTAGCATTACTCTTTCGTGGCTGTTTTTTTTTTTGAGTTGATTGAAGATTTGTGGCCTACTTGATTCAACTATATAATGAATTTGGAATCAGCATCCCTTGCCACAACATTGATGAGTTTGTGCATGTTAAATATATTTACCATATATATTTATGTTAAGTATATTTAATGTATTTATTATTGTATCATTGTATTATTGGTAGTTACCTTTTGTATAGGGTTCTTACTCGTATTAGGACTCCCGTCCTGTCTATATATACGGTTGTACTCCTACACGTTTAATCATCGAAAATATTCATTCTTCATGGTATCGGAGCCAAAAATCCTAATTCCCAAACTCTAATTCTCTCCCGGCTCTCTCCCTCGGCGCTGCTCTCTCCCTCTCTCGGCCTTACTGCCGCAGCACCCCCACCCTCCTCCTCCGTCGTCTCTCTCTCTCTCTCTCCTCATGGACTCCGACAAGACGACGGACAAATCTCCCTCCACCACCTCCTCAAATTCTCCCCACTTGGCGTTCACGGCTATATCTAACGCCAAGCTTCACGTCCCCATACAGTTGAGTTTTTCTCAACCTAATTACAAAAAATGGAGCCGTCTTTTCTTGCTCCTTGTTCGACGGTTTAATCTCCACGGGTTTCTCTCCAGCTCTAAGATCCCTTCTTCCGCCGACGACGACGAATGGTTTCAACTTGATGCCGTGCTTCAAGGTTGGATTCTCTCCACGGTGACCGATGAGGTCTCCGACTTGGTCATCTCCTCCACTTCAACGGCCTCCGAACTTTGGCACATGATTCATGCTCTCTTCCACGACAACAAACCGGCTCGAGCTATGCAATTGGAACACCAATTCCGCACTACGGTCAAAGGAACTATGTCCATGGCCACATATTGTCAAACTCTCCGGAACATCGCTGATTGGCTAGATGACGTCGACGCCCCGGTCTCCGAATCACAGCTGGTGCTCCAACTTTTACGGGGTTTACCGGATGATCTCTAAGCCCAAACATCTTGGATGCAATTTCAACAGCCCCAACCCACTTTTCTCCAAGTCCGATCGGCGTTATTGCTCCTTGAACGTCAACGCTCCCACTCGATTGAG